CCTTAATTTATATATACATATATAAATGTATATATGTATATATAAATTTATATATACATATATAAATTAAGGAAATCTTCTCTCTCTGAGAGAGAGAGGGGGAGGGAAGAAGGAAGAGAGAAGGAGGGAGAGATGGAGAGAGAGAGAGAGAGAGCACCTAGGTCTAGTCCATGCATGGTCCTTGGTTGATCCTTCAGTCTTTGCAAGCCCCTCTGAGCCCAAGTAAGTTGGGACTGCTGGTCTTATTGTAGAGCTCTTGACCTTTCCAGGTCTTTTTCTTCTCCTCCCCCCACCCCATTCTTCTACAAGGCTCCCTGTACTCCACCCAATGTTTGGCTGTGAGTCTCAGCTTCTGTTTTAATCTATATCTGGTCCTCTCAGGGGACAGCCACATCAAGTTCCCATCTGCAAACACAGTAGAGTATCATCAATAGTGTCAGGGGTTGGCTCTCTCCTATGGAGTAGGTCTCTGGTTGCTCCAGGCATTGGTTGCAGATTCCTTCAATTCCTGCAGGAATAAAGCTATAGCAGAGAGGAATACAGTTTTAAACTGACCAATAGGGAGAGAGTTTGGAAGCTATGATGAAGGTCATATGAACAGGAATATGAACAGTGTCAAAGACAATCTCTGCCTGTTTTGTCCTTTCCCTATGGTTTGAACTTGTGGCTATGGAATATGGACAATTATACCAAATCATGGTACAGAAGCAAAAATAAAATCAAAGAATGAGGCAGCACACAGCTTAAGAAAGAGCAATTTGTGAAAACCAGGTTAGCAATGAAGACCAGGGACAACTCAGATACTTCCGGTAGACTAAGTCTGAGATGCAGTTTTTAATAATGATAAAAAGTGGACAAACCTCACCTCACAGTGGAAACTGGAAACAAGACTCGGTGGTTATCTAGCAGGGAGAAGGCCACCATATCCAGGAGGCACACAACAAGTAAGGAACAGAGAGGTGGGCAGAGGAGCACTGTGAGGCATTAGGGACTGACTCTGATAGCGAATGTGTTGTGCTTAGTATTTCACACCCTGAAAAGTCTCTTTCCTTTTTTCTGTTTTTACATTACCTTAAAGAGAGAGAGGGGCTGGAGAGATGGCTCAGCCGTTAAAGGCTAGGCTCACAACCAAAAATGTAAAGAGAGAGAGAGGGAGAGAAAGAGAGAGAGAGAGAGAGAGAGAGAGAGAGAGAGAGAGAGAGAGAGA